AGACTACAACAGTGTAGGGAATGTACAAATCAGATCCTCAAGGCTGCCATGGCAATCAATGGCAATGTGCTTGCTGAGATGGAAATTCCAAATGTTTACTTACAGAACTTGCCCAAGGTATGTGGCTATGTGCAAAACATCCTGCTCTGTTTCGTTAATTTCAATGGACTATTTTTCATGTATTTTCTTATACGGCCGTTATTCCTTGGGTTAAAAGTAAAACACAATGCTCAATCTTATATTCTTATAGGAGTTTTAAAGAAAATTAGATTAGATATGATAATTGCCTTCAAATAAAGTTAGCTATAGTCAGTGAAGAAAAAGGTTTGTCAAGATAAACTTGGCATCTTATCTAGTCGTATGACATTAATTCCATTATAACGTGTTAGAAGAGAGAGATTTTATAGAAATTGACGACATGAAGAGATATTTTTCTAAGCTTTAAGAATATAAGGTCCAACTTAGACCCAATAGGAGAATTTTGCGACTTCTTTCATCTTCAAATTTCTCATTGTGGCATCACTTTTTTTTTTTTTGGGTGAATTGTTTAGAGTGGAAAGGCTTGTTTAGGGGAGATCATTTACCGTTACATGACTGCTGATAAGTTCTCCCCAGAATGTCTTCTCGATTACTTAGACCTCTCATCAGTCTACAACACCCTTGAGATAGCAAACAGGATTGAGGCTGCCATACACATTTGGAAGCAGAAATGCTTGAAAAGACATCTAACGCTCTCAAAGTCGCGAAAGACATCTTGGGGTGGAAAAGTTAAGGGTCTTGCTAGTGACTTTGAGAGAAATCAGCTTCTAGCCAATCGGGCCGAGACGCTCTTGCGGAATTTGAAGATGCGCTTCCCTGGCCTCCCACAGACCACTCTGGACATGACCAAGATTCAGTACAACAAGGTATCTAGCCATTAACAAAGTCTAGTGTTTAGTACAACTGAAAGAATTGGGAAAATTACGGCTCAAGTCATTAACCTATCACAAGTGTTTTGTTGTCTCTGAAGTAACAAAAACATTGTACCAAGTAAAAAAAATCTCTGAAATTTAACATTTAGAATCATGATTCAGAACCATTCTCAATTTACGTGTATTTTTTGTGAGAGAAAACACTGTGGTGAGCCACAAACAATGATCCGAACCATGACACGAATCCACCAACCAAACGTGTCGTAAGTATTATTACTTTTCTACCAAAACCATTGTATGTCGGTTCTCACAAAGTATCCAACCACATGCACTTTTTTTTTTGTTAATTTAGAGATTCATGCGACACATTTTAACAGTCGAGGACCTAAAAGAGTGACAATTTAGTAAATTACGTAGCGGAGCCGCAACTTATTGGAAAGAATATGCTTGTTGACATGTTGAGGAACGTTTTCGTGAGGACTCTAATTTCTTTTCTTTTACAGGATGTGGGGCACTCAATACTTGAAAGCTATTCTAGGGTGTTGGAAAGCTTGGCCTTCAACCTAATGGCGAGGATTGATGATCTTTTATACGTAAACGACGCGACTAAACGACGTGCAGCTGCGGATTCAATGTGTTTACAAGATCATGGAAGATTTGGCAGTACTGGTCTTCCTAAGCAGAAGAGGATATCACACAGTCCTTTATCGGTTCAACATGTGTCTTCTGCCTCTCAGATTAAGGCAACATCGTTACATAGTCGTAATCAGATTGGTGGCCGTGGAAGCCCCAGCGAAATGACGCATCGTTTGGTGAAGAGGACTACCACAAGTGAGACAGAGGAGGAAAAGTTTGAAAAATTTTCCGATGATTCAAAATGATATTTGCTAGCCTTTATACCACTACTTAACCAACTTTTTCTGCCATAAGAGAAAACAGATGGTTCGGTTACGGAGTGTAAGCAAGTTAGAACTTAGAATAAGGTAAAATATTCCGTGTTGCTCTTTTATTTGAGAATTATGATGTCCATTTCTGGTTTGTTCAACTTCTATTTCATTAGGCTAAACTTATATGTCAACTTGAATTTGGGCGTTAATAGCCATTTGAGCTCGTCACTGAGATTTTTCACAGAGATTAGAAAGAAGAACAAAAGAAGGTGTTATGCCTTGGTGACACTCTTCATGATAAAACCGCTTACAAAATTTCACCCAAACTGTAGCCTTTCCATTTCTCATGATTCTTATTCGCTTTTTAGCTGCTTTGGAAAAATCAACAAGAAACTTTCAGCAAGAAAAAGTAAACCCCCCCACAAGCCCACAGGCCACAATAGTTCATTGCTCACTATGCTCTTGTTTAAGAATCTATAATCAACATCGCCTTTGGTCAATTTTTGTTGCCAATCGCGACAGTTTCAAAATTGTTTGAGACAATATCTAGGCAAAGCCATGAATGTTGTCAATTGCTTATAAGCGACTTCCTAGGGGAAAGCAGATTAAATACAAAGTAATAGAAACCGCATACTTTCAGTTTATCATCACATAACACAACTTAACCGAAGGCAGAGCCTTTTCTCTTTGCTCATAATCATATTCTCCAGTCGATCGAATGTCATCAATTGGTGACTGGACGAATCATTTGTATATTTATTTAAACAAAACTTAAGATTATTTGTTAGTAATCTTACAATCAATTATTTATCAACATCAAAATTGTTGTTCATTAGGCATCGTGCATTTCACCGATTCGAATTTAGAATTTGAGTTTTGTTACAGTAAAAAACTCTCAGAAACAGTCACATCTAACTTTTCTACTACAGTAAAAAAATTCTCAGATAAAATCACATCTCAACTCGAATCAATGAACTAAATAGGTCCTAAATCTTCAGGCGAAAAACCTCAAATACCATTCATAATCTACTTTTTCCGAAAGCATCACTGGGTCTAAAAGTTTGCATTGACTTAACAATGTAGGAGAGTGGGCTTAATCATTTGAATCTTCGTAGACTCTAGAAAGAAAATTACAAATTTTATCTCTTTTTAAGTACTTAGGGCCCGTTTAGTTCGCTGATTCGAGTTTTTAATTCGAGTTGAGATGTGATTTTATGTGAGAACTTTTTACTGTAGCAAAAAAGTTAGATGTGATTGTTTGTGAGAGTTTTTTACTGTAACAAAACTCGAATCAACGAAATGAACGAGACCTTAACTTATTAAAAATATTATTTTTAAAACCCTACTCGTTGACTAATTTTAGTCTAAAAGGTAAAATATATATAGAATAATATCAAAAGGTAAAAATAAAAAGGAGCTTTTTTCAAAAAGTGTTTTTAAAAATTGCCCTAAACTAGATTGAACCAAAATCTTATAAACTTAAAAAATGTTGGTGTGAACGATTTTTATTGAGAGTCGCTTTAGTCACTTAAATATGCTATATGCATTATTAGGACACGGGCTCTGAAATTTTTTCTTTTTCTTTTTTCAAAATCAACCCAACTTCTCAACTCTCGTATTCGGTTTGGACAAGCATGAAATGCCATGAGGAGCATCTCAAGAATTTGGGCGTACGGAGGTTCCATGAAGTCAAATTACTTGTCCAGCTTTCTTGGGCGGATAAATTATAGCACCAAGTGTAAGTAAAGATAAGTTTAGAATTTTAACCCATTTAGTTCTCTTATTTAATTTTTAATTTAAATTAAAATATAATTTTATATGAAAATTTTTTACTATAATAAAAAAATTAAATTTAACTTTCTAAGAACTTCTTATCGTAATAAAACTCAATTCTATAAAATAAACGTACTAAAATTAGTGAATGCAAAACCATCTTTTAAATGCATGATTCTAAAATTTTTACCTTTTACTCTTAATTAATACCATTTTAATTACTATAATTCTTTCACTAAAAGTATTAATTAAATTAATTCAGGATAAAAGATAAAAATTCAAGATTTATACATTTTAAATGATATTTATCTCTTTTTTTCGGAGTAAGAGAAAAGAAATTCTATCAAAAAAAAGGAAATCACCAATCTAACTTGCTTCAGATACTAAGCGAGAAAAAAGAAAACTGAATATAAAAAATAATAGTGCAAAGACGGCCTTGGTTCTTGAATAGTTATAATTTGTAAGCTCTTCCTTGCTTGATAATATGACAATATGGAAGCTCCATAAACAGTTTCAAAAAGAAAATACTCTCTTTATCATGGGACAGAGTGTACTAACATCATCAACTTTCAAGAGAAACTTTTCTCCTCTAACCTTATTGACCAATTAAACATGAAAAAGAAGGAATAGTAACAAGACCCATATCTTAAAAAAGTTAAAATCCTCCATTCATAGGTGATCAACTAGGCATGCACTCCAGGTAACTTTATACTCATGTTGTCTCTTAGATATTTATTACGTTCCAAACAATAAGAACAACACGCAAAACATATGTCTATCTGGCCCATACTAGCAAGATTATTGCTTAAAACCTTTTTTGTTTTTTTTTTTCAATTTAAACTTATTCCACGGTATTACCATAAAAGTTTAGATTTCCGCGTTTCTTCTCTCATTTCCATTGCACATCATTTAGGGCAATAAATTCTCGCTTCAATCACACAGCAGGAAAAAGAAAATACATTGATTTCATACACAGGAAAAGAATATCTAGTATTACAGCAGCCTGGGAAACTTTATGATCATGCGAGATCGATACTTTGGTCGTATTGCTTCAATACGCACCCTTCTTAAAAACGTTTCGTGTCAAAACAAATCCTGGCTAATTGAAAACATATATACACATGCGTGATATATATACATATACATATATATATATATATCGCAAAACATATATGTATGATCTAGCTTTACTTTCTAGTCAAGCACCACAAGTCATGAAGAGTACCGGTAGTCAAAGAACTTTAAAAGCTAAAACAAAAGGCATCAAAAAGGTCATTTGACCATACTAAAAACGTGTTTGACTCAAGTAAAACTGGCAAGTCAAAGGGGGCTTTAATTAGAGAGCAGCGAGGAGAGGAGCGGGAGCGGCGGCAATGAAAGGTGCTTCTATCGGCTATAGCCAATAATATAAGAGGAAAAGCCAAACACCCCAAATTGCCTTCAAAACAAATTAACAATTAAGAAGATTGTAACTTTTGCTTCTTATAATTATATATAAACATAAAGTAACTTCCTTTACTTGTATCTTGCAACAATGATGAACAGAAAGAGAAGGAAAACTTACCGCGCTCTAAGCAGTACCCAAATAGCTGAAAAAAAAAAAAAAGGAATGACCAAAAAAAATATTGTAATTAAGGAGTTTCTTTTATACAAGTTTCTAACCATGGTGGAATTTGGATATCCACGCGCTGCAAAGGCGTGTGGTTACATGTATGTTTTTGGCATTGTTTATTGGGACTGTCAGTCTTCAATCATGAGCCTACGTATATTGGCTTGAGGACAGTACAGGAAGGTATTTGCAATTGTGTTAATTTCTTCCTTCATCGATAGAGAGCTGTGGCCATAAATTAGATTAAAAATTAATAATAATAAATCAAATTAAACAACACTACCAAATGATGGTTAGAGAAACTTCAAAAGCAAATCAATGACCGACAATCAAAATAAAGATAGCAGGCATGCATGAAGCCATGATTATTAATACTAGAATCACTCCTTTTTTATTGTCATAATCTGATAGTAATCATCATGATTTAACATTTTATATATAATAACAAGCGAGCGCAAACAAATTAAAGAGCATCTTTTTTTTCAGAGGCGAAGTTCAAATTCAAGAAGCCAAACCATAAGAGCCTCTCTGACAACAACAACAAAACAAAACAAAAAAAACCCTGCCTTTTCTCATGAATCTTACCCCACCTGTCCCTGTAAAATGCACAGTTGAATATTGGTTTCTTCTTCATCTCTTTCGGTACTTTGTCTCCTGACCTAGAATATGAGAAGATCACACGAGATGTATAGTAGTACTTCTGAAACCCTAATCAAAGAAAATGGACTGTTTTGCCTATAAAGAAGTAAAAAATAATCTTCTTTTGGTACAGTAGTACTTCTGGTAAGGAACATTTTAGAAATAAATAATTGAAAAAGAGGAAAGAAGAGAAAGTTAGGGTTGTTCTTAAAGTAGCAGACCAATGGAAGAAGAAGATCAAACAGATCATGACCTAATACAAACAAATATTGTACTTGTTAGCGATATTGCCTAAAGCCCTAGAGAACTGCGAAAGGCCATATGAAGGAAAAACAATAAAAAGAAAATCAAAACTACGTATTCATCAAAATTTCTCTTCTCAACAGAAATAATAATAAAGTTTTTGGGGATAATAATCTAATAGCTAGCCAAGACAGGAAAAAAAAATCTAAAGTATAAAAAACGCTTCTATCAAATGATCATATTTAATATCAAGAAACAGCATAAACATATACAGAGAGAGAGATAGAGAGAAAGGAGAGAGAGAGAGAGAGAGAGAGAGAGAGAGAGAGAGGATATGGATATAAGGTTGTTACCTATTTAATGAGCTTTATGAGGAAGATGGGAGGCAGTGCATAAAGCAAGCAATATGTAACGGAAGATATCACGAGGGTTTTACAAAGAGAAACCAACAGAACTCAGTTGGCAGTATGCCCACCTCCATATATATATACATATATACATATATACACACACACACAATAATAGATCATAAACATACTTTATGAATAGGAGGTGGACAGAATGCCAATAAACTCTGCGAGAAACCCTTTATTAAACCCACATGAAAACAATAAGACCAACATCTATCAAGTTTTCCTTCGTAGTCACCGCTTGCCCAGAAAAACACAAACCCAAAACCACTACACCAAAAAGATGTATATAGAAAGCAATAAAAATCTAGGGAGAGATTGGAGAGATGGGGAAGATGGGTTCTCTTTAATATTTCTTAAGAAGAGAAGATATGCGAAGGAGAGGTTATTTTAGAGTTATAAATGAGAGAGAGAGAGAGAGAGAGAGAGAGAGAGAGAGAGGGGGGGTATTGAACTTGAGGGGTGTAATTGATTAATAATAAATTGACAGGAAAGTGTAGGAGAGGCTTGTTTGGGTGGGTATTTCTTCAGCAGTGTGAGAATCAATCAAATAATAATAAGATAAGATTGGATTATTGGATAGTTAATATTCTCATATATAGCTAGGGTTAGTAGAGAAAGGATCATCATAGTTATTCTGACCACTCCTTTCCCTCGTTTCTGATGAAAAAAACCCCTCCAAATTTCATCACTTTTCTTTTCCTCCTCTTCCTCTTCCATCCCTTTTCACCCCCTCGTTTCTGATGCCCAAAGCCCACACTACCCACACACATCACTCTCTCTAGAAGGAGACTATTATATAATAATAACAGCCGAAGAAAAAGGTTAGTTACTTAATACTATTTATTTAACTGATTTAAATTTAAATTTTAAAAATTATTACAGTAAAAAAATTTTAAAAATAATCATATTTAATTTTTTTATTATAATAAAAAAAATTTATATAAAATTATATTTTAAATTAAATTAAAAATTTAAATTAACAAAAAATTTTGTTCACTTCGTAAATTTAAGTTTTCAATTTTAATTGAGATGTAATATTTTTTTAGAGCTTTTTCCTGTAACAGAAAAAATTAGAATTTGTTACTGTATATCATTACTTAAATCTTGCTTACTGGTCCAAAAATGACAAAACTCGAGAGAAATTATTCAGTTGCAGATTAAAGTGGCTTTAATCAGTTTCTTTTTTTGTTTTCTTTTCAGAGAACTAACATTTATAATTACGACTATGAGGACCATCTGGACGGTAGAGTGGACTACAACGGAAATAAATTAGAACCCGTTTAGTTTATAAATTAAAATTATAAGATTATAATTATTTTTTATATATGTGTATTTTTTATAATAAAAAATATTATAATAAATTATGAATCATTATTCAAATTAGAGAACAAATTTTTCAACTAAATGGGCTCTAAGACACATAAAATTAACAGGAACCGTTCAATTAGTGGGCAATTTTCTTTTTCTTTTTTTTTCCTCTCTTTTTTGTGACGGTTTAATTTAGGGTCCGTTCACTTCGCTGATTCGAGTTTATAATTCGAGTTGAGATGTGATTTTATGTGAGAGCTTTTTACTGTAGCAAAAAAATTAGATATGATTATTTCTGAGAGCTTTTTACTGTAACAAAACTCGAATTTTAAACTCGAATCGACGAAATGAACGGGCCTTAGAGAACACGCCAATGTTTGGATTGCTGTTAAATTATATTCTCTTTCTGATTTTTTGACGACGACGAATTTAATGTAGTTGCCGATCGTTACACCTACTTTTTGACTCTTTTTTGAGCGTGTATGTATATGTGTGTGTGTGTGTATATATATATATATTAAGAGAAATGGCATTTCAAAATAAAGAAATACAATTGCTAATTTAAGGATAAACAACTCAAATATTATTAGGCCTCGTTTTATTTTACCGATTCAAATTTTTAGTTCTAAGTTTTTATAGTAAAAAGCTCTTAGTAAATGTCACATTGAATTTTTTTCTGCTACAGTGAAAAGCTCTCAGAAAATGTTACATCTCAGCTCGAATTGAAAACTCGAATCTGCGAAGTGAACGAGGCCTAGTGTTCGTACAAAATTTAAATGTTTAAGTGCTAATTCTATTTTATTTTAGGTATACACATACGTCTTCATAGATTCAAGAAATTGATAAGAAAGATTCGAGTATTCTAAACAAGTTTGGAGTTAGGAATGTTCATGGTTAAAGAACTCAAGTTATCGACCTAATCGTTCGCTAGGTAAATTTATTCGTAAATTAATTTAATTTATTTATTCGTGCATAAATTAATGTATTCTATAGAGTATCTTAAATGTTTATTAAAATTTTTGTTATACACAATCCGCTAGATATACGCTTCTGCATAGAAAATTGTTTTCAAAACCAACAAATACATCTACGGGTACAAATTAAACGACCCTAAAACATAAAGAGCCTTGACCCCAAACATCAACCAGACCCACCAATAAATTCGAATAAAATGCTTAAGGGACATAATTGTGCACCGAGTCATAGGCACACTAAATATCGAGCACAAATAAGACTCTTTCAACAAGACCACTACAGTTGATGGAAAAACCCGATCGACCGATATCTAGAAACCTAAAGCGCTAAGGCCACCAACAACACCGCATGGAAACAAATCTAGCGGACTAGACACACAACCCAAATCAAAGAGTGGGGAGACCACCTTTGTTATTTCATAACAAGACAACAAACACTCTAAAAACACACAAATACATAGAAATGACAAAAGCAACATCACTCTTATTTGAACAAAACAAAAACTAACTGAAAAGGTCTTGAACTGCACAGAAGAGGATTCCAATGATAAGATAGCTTCTAAATCCAAGAGGAAAAGATATAGACGCACTGTCAAAAAAGGAAAAAGCTCTAGACGAACTTCCAAACCACCAGCAAGAGGGAAGCAAACAACGTCGAGACCCACCAAACCACGCGTCTCACTAGAAACACCACTATGCCGAGAGGACCAAAGCCTCTAAGATGCTGGCCCAACTGGGTTCTGACGATCCCCTAAATGGCGGATGAAAGCACGACCTCCATCCCCTCTAACTGCACAAAGACCTAACACCAAAACAAACATAGATTCGCACTCAAAACCCATCTTCATCCAATCCTCCGCACGCCTAAAACCCACCTACTAGGGTCGGGAATCTGGTGACCCACCCAAAGGTGACGTTGGACTCCGGCCCTCTCAAACGAAAGAGATGTGGCGTTCAAAGACAAAGACGAAACCCTGAGGGAGGGGAAAAGTCGAGAGAAGAAAAGAGAGAGAATACTCAAAGATTGTTTTTTTGAGCGTGTATATATATACTAGTTTTTTAACGTGCTCCGCACGTATTACCATATTGAAGACACTGGAAGAGTTTATTATTTACCGAATAATGAGAAATTCATTTATATAACTATTTAAGGATTTTAACATTTATTTAAAAAGAAATATGTGTAAAGGTGACAATTGACGAAAAAATTAAGTAAGGTACCTCTAAAGAAAATTATTTTAACCAATCAAAAATAAAATAATAACACATGTGAAAAATCACTCTTATAGAAGTAGAGGAAGGAACATCATAATTTAAAAAACACAAAAAAAAAATAAAAAGGTAAAAAAATTCAAAAAAATAAAGATGAAAAAAAGGAGCTGATTGGATATTTTAAAAAACATACAACAAAATTAAAATGTAAAAAATATCCACAAAAAAATGAAGATGAAAAAATAAAAAAGGAACTAATTGGAGAGGCTATCACATAAAAAAGAAATTTAGTTCTTTTATGTATTGTTATATATTTATATATATATATATGAATTATTTTAACTCCCACATATATATAGGAATTTTTTAATATTCATTTAGCATTATGCGTATGTGTAACGCTTAAATTATTTTAGTGTAACATTTAAAAAATATAAGGATCCCAAATATAATTCAACACATGTAACATTAAGTATTGCGTGGATATATGAAAAAAGTTGTATGTATGAACGAATGATATTTCAGATACATACAAAAAAACAAAGTTACATTGGTCGGACTAATATAAATGTTGGTGTTAGAGGTGTGAATAAAGTCTCATGTTGGCAACAAATAGGAGCTATGATGGATTTATAAGTGAGTGTGCTACTCTGCTCACTAGGTTAATTTTTTACATTGTGTGTTGGTAGGGTGGAAAAAAGAAAGTAAAGAAAATAAAGGAAGAATTTTGAAGAGGAAAATCAAATTTTAGGTTATTTGGTAAAGAGGAAACGAGGAATGAAGGAAAATGAAAATCTGTGGGGCCAATTAGTTTTTAATCATCCAAACTTTGAGAAAAAAAGATGCGGGAAAAAGTTTGACAAATAAATAAAATGTAAAATAACAATTTTAACATTGACCATTCATTATATTTTTATTTATATTGGAGTATTATTGTAAAATGTCTTAGATTTGACATTTTCTTTTCACTTTTCTTTCTCTTCTACCAAATAACATGAGACAAAATCATAATTCTACCATTTTACTTAATTCACCTAGGTATTTTACTTATCATTTCTCCCTATTTTCTTTCCATCCTACTAAACATAGCATAAGTTGGAACCCCATTTTCTTATGGTAGAACCTATGGTGCTAACAAGTGGTATCAGAGTTGAGAGCTATATGTTGGCAAGTGTATGCACGAGATGAATCTGATGTGTCGAATGAAGATGTGAGCCCCTAGTAATATTACGATGCTGAAAAAACTTCGTCAATGCTCGAGGTAAACTTGGTGGAATCACTATGTAACACAATCTAGATGCGATGCAGGATCTTATGGTGGAGCTCATAGTGCTGACAATTGTACTTAAGACTTTACCTACATATATATTCCTATTATTTATTTTTATTGAGTTCATAGATAGGTATTTTAAATTATTTTTATTGACTGCCTAAATGAATTCGTACTTCGCGATTAGTAAATCGTTCTTTTTGATATAAGAAATTAAAACAGTACTTAAGACCAATTGAAATATATTGTTTTGTAAAGGAGCCAAAATAAATGATTTCATATGAAAAATATTTATAAGTACTGCTGGTGTTAAGGATCACCGCTAATAAAATGTGTATTCTATTTATGTGTTTAATAGCATTGTCCTGGGAGGACGTTTGGTTTGAGAATTCAAACTATGATTTGAATCATGATTCATAATTCATTACAGTGGTCTCTCTCATAAAAAAATACACGTAAATTAAAAATAATTTTAATTATATAATTCTAATCCATAAACCAAACGCAAGTTATCACTTATTAGTGGGTTTAATAGCACCGTTCTATGTGAAAATGAAGATCGACATGACGGCATTGAGTTTAATGCTTGTTCA